TGACGTAGACGCTAATATGATTTATCGCGTGGCCAAAGAAATCTTACTGTCCATTATGAAACTAATACAAGAAGTAAAAAGAGGTCGAATGATCACAACACAAACAGCATATTTTTTTACAAGAAATAAAGTAAATAGAAATAAAACAAGGAAGAGCGTTTAAGAGCTTAGGCACAGATTAAATAGTGCAATCAAAAGGTTACATTGACACAAATATATTTAAACGACCCTTTTGAGTCCTTTTCAATAAACTAATATAAAAAACCAAAAAGCTCGCCAGTCAAAAAACAATAATGGTCAGTCGAGACCATTGACTGGGGAGAGCTTTTTGGTTTTTTATACTAGTTTACTGAAGAGGATCCAAAAAGGGTTGAAACGTTTAAATATATTTGTGCCAATGTAACCTTTTGATTGCACTATTTAATCTGTGCCTAGACTCTTAAACGCCCTTCCTTGTTTTACTTCTATTTGATTGTTAAATCTTAGAGCCATTTTAATTCTTCTGTTTTTTAAGAAATAAAGTATTCACCGTTCAACCTTGAACCATACAGTGTTTTCATCCCTTATTATTAACATTACGTTATCGTGATCCTGACGCCATTGTGGACGTAACCAACGCGCACAATATACGCGCGTAGACCGAAAATCCGTGACCCGGAATCCCATGGGCGAGATTAGCTGTGTACGCCATGCGGAGAGCCGAACAAATTTACAGCTGTGGGACGGAGAAGAGGTGTGGAGGAGACTACGGTTTTCACGGTTAATTTTATCGGTGTAAAATGAGCAATCGAGCAAAGAGATACTTTGACTATGTCAGCGCTTAATAAGAGAAACGGGACGGTTAATGACGGGCAGCTTGGGAAAATATAAGTGGGATTCACTCAGAAAAATCTCTCCGCAGAATCTATCCGCCGCGCCGGTCTCCTCCTTTAATATCCATCAACTGAATTTTTTATCGCGAAAGCGCAAAGATAAGATGTCTTTGACGTGGCTGCTGAATAAATAACCGGGATTCCGCGTGGATTATCTAGCGCCGCGCGACTAATACCACGCGAGGATTTGAATTTACGTCGTCAGAGGCGACGTCATGTACGCGATTGTTGAAAGAATACTCGACGCGACCGTCGCGTAGGAGAAAACTGCAAGAAATGGTACTTCATGGCTCCGACACACAAAATACGAAGAAGAAGGTTTTCTTCTCTTCGAGGAGAAGGAGGAAAAGCGTAACAACAATGGCCGTCTCGAGAATTGTCAATGTGTTGCCGTCACTACCGTGAAAACAGCTGACTTCAATCGTAATGCGTTTAATCATCAAGCTCGACGAATCGCGCTCTCCTTCCTACGCTACTTACTATCCATTCTCACTCTCCCCGATTACTCCTTTCCTCCCTCTCTCTTCCACGACGTTTTACGTTGATAGCATCTCACCGAAGAACGCGGAAATATCGCAGAAACTCCGTGGAAAGTGTCAGGAATAAGAAACCCTGACTCTCTTTCCTTTCTCTCTCTCCCCCTCTCTCCCTCTCTTTATTCCTCCTCCTCTCCTTTTTTTTCTCTCTCTTTTTCCCTCCCCCTTCCTCTCTTTATTTCTCCTCCTCTCCTTTCTCTCTCTCTCTCTCTCTCTCTCTCTCTCTCTCTCTCTCTCTTTCGCTCTCGCTCTCTCTTTCTGTCTCGTGCAGAAATCTCCCGCGAGCCCCGGACAATCCGAGAGGGTCGGTACGCCGCGACGGACGGCAACCGCTTTTGTGCCCTGGGGAATGTCGCTCGGGGGCGCCGCGGAGGAAGAGCGAGGCACCAACAGCCGTGAGAGGCGAATCCGTGCAACGACGTCGGCGTAATTGTGTAACTTCGTGGTTGCGACGTACGAAACAATAACCGCCGGCAAATCGCATCAAACAATACCACGGCAGATTGCATCTTCCCGGGCGCGATGCGCGCGTCTCCTTTTTTCGCGCTGATCTCCTTTGTCCTCGGTCCTCGAGTCGACTTTGCTGTGTCCTCCCGACAAATAACTGGGCGCCTCTATCGCGCTGCGACATCGTGATTGTCAAAGGCTACCGCCTTTGGTGACTCGTGTGCCAGTGGAGCGCACGTAGGAGACGGCGGATAAAACGCGTTATCGGGTACAGAAACGATTACGTCTCTTGGCGCGCAAGTTTCGAGTGTGAGCCAAAGGGAGAGAAAGAGAGATAGATGGATAAGATAGATGAAGGGGTAGCGGGGCAAGCGCGAAAGGGCTCTCGACAAGAAGAAAATGTCCTTTCCTATCGTTTTCTGATAACCTCTGGGGGGACACCGCCCTCACGATAAAAAAGAATGTCTTCGCGCGATGATAACGTGAGAAGAGGTATAAGAATAGGAAAGCAGAAATCTTTACACACACATTCGCCAGCCATATTGCTAAGCTACGTGAGTATCGCGTGATGTGTAAGATGTTATCGATACGAAAGCCAGACGAATTAATTGTGGCTGCAATTGAATATAATCGTAAAAATGAGTTTTTCAAAATTGAGAACTAACTCGCACTACGAACACAAAAAATTCCAAACACCTGGATTATTACCAGGGTGTCCGATAACTTATAGAGAAATCAAGGGTAAATTACGTTAAATTGAACAAAAAATTTCCCTATCATTTTGCAAACAACACGTAAAGTTCTAAGTTATTAATAAAAAAAATTTGTGAATGATTACGCGCCATACGGTAGATGAACTGTGATGGCGACGACTGCCGCTGTATGCTTGTACATATTAGATCAAACTGAACAAAAAAGTTCTCATTTTCCGAATGACTATGTAGGTGTTTAATTATTAGTTAAAAAAATGATGCATTAACTGTACACCAAACTTTTTTAATTAATAACTAAACATGTACGTGGTCATTTTGATCACATTTGGGGGAGGGGGGAATCATTTGACCTAATATATAAACATATAGCGGCAGATATTGCTATCACAATTCATCTATCATATGGCGCGTAATTATTCACGAATCTTCTTTGATTAATAACTTACAATTTTACATCGTTGTTCGCAAAATAGTAAAGAAATTTTTTGTTCAGTTTGACCTAATTTACCTATACACCGCGACTCCTCTGTGAGTTATCGGACACTTTGTATAAAGGACATGCATATGTAATATGATACATTCTATCAGAGTAACAAAAGTTGTACAAAGGTGGAGGATTACACGAATTGTTATTCCGCACTGATGTGAATGATGTCCATGATTATTTTAATGTAATACATTTTAAGCAATGTCACATTATCTTATTTCACATTATCTTATCTTAATGCACTGCATTTTAAACAATGTCACATTAGCATAAATATGATGACACGAAATATACAACATTATTTTTAAGCTTTAATAATGGCCATCGCAAGAACATGGCGTATTGTCATAAATTCTCATAAATTCGATTGTTGGAATAAATTCCAACAAAGACACTTTCCCTTACAAAAAGCGCAATTTGTTCGGTCGCGTTTGCTTGTCAGTATTGTTCAACTATAACTATGGGAGTGGTTATTTTGTATAATATAGATTTTACGTCGTCGTCCCTGTACGTAAAGTTAAATCTCAACGAATAATTCTTCCGCAAAGTACACATCCCATTAATAGGTTTATTATATGCTGCCATCTTCTATTATGCATTCGCATTTCCTTTATAACTGTTCTATGTACCATTACACAAAAAGGGAACAAACGAGAACTTACCCTACGACAACGTAATCCTTTAGACGCGAGTTGCGTTTCATTCACGAGAATCATTTTATCGATATGAAATTAAAACTGTACGATCCGAGCGTGACAATATTGCTCGTCATTCACCCGTGCGGTGAATGACGAACAATAATTTGTTATAGATTTTTCCAGTCTTTAACGCGTACAGAGTTAATGGAGGCAGGAAGTTTCACAATCTGTTCATTGGCAGTTCATTCATTGTCTCGCATCAAATTCTTTTAAATGTTTCAGGAAAAATAATGAATGAAGTAATATCACTAGTGACGAGATAATATTGTGAGGAGAGACTGGAGCTATTTAGCCACCAGGATAAGTTAGCAAAATCGATTATTTTTATTGTTCATTAACAAATTTCAGAATCAAGCAAGCAGAGATTTTAAAGCCATCTTTAATATGTTTAAAAATCTTGCTTATTTAATTTTGTAACTTGTTAGGAAATACTAGAAATAATCGGTTTTTTTAACTTATCCCGATAGCCGACTAGCCACGTCTGCCTTATCTAATTTCTGTAAAAATATCTAGTTTCTTGTTTTTGTAATATCATATATTTGACATGTTTGATATTTCAGTTTGACATAGCGTATGTTGAACAATGAGCCTAGTATTTTATTTTAATTATTTCTAATAATGACAGTGAATAATAATAAGTGGTCAATGCAAGTATTACGCAACATAATTGCTACAACATGACGAATGTATTCGTTATACGCCCATTCTATTGGAAATTTTGAATACTTATGCTCGTGAACATTACATTCATTCGGCTTGATTTAAAAGTATTAAATGTGTATCTCGAAGTATATATATATATATATATATATATATATATATATATATATATATATAAAAGACGGAATTAGATCGTAATAACTATTTCTGCGCGACGAAGAACATCATCTTACGAACCAGACCAAATCTAATGCGATATAATGTATTACGGAGGTCTGTAATTGGATTAGACAGTTGCGATCAATCACACTCTGCGCCTTTTTCTTTCGTACGCAAGAAGAAGAAAATATGTAGCAAAAGACTTTTGTTGACGAACGTTTAGCTAGATAATTTTTGTCTATAAAAGCTAAATAATATTGGTATATAAAAAGAACAGATAATAAGGATGAAAAAGGGAAAGAGGGATGCATATGAAATAAAAAAAGAACTACAAACAAAAAGAGAAACAGAACACATATTTAAATTTAAAAAAATATATAATGTTTTTTTCGCACGTGTGCGCATAATTATGATTAAATGTTACAGCTTTAAGTAATCTTTTTCTTAATATCAACTGATATTTTTATCCAGAAATATTTAAGAATTATTATTTTTAACAATTTATATATAATTACCGATGTGCAAATTAATACTACAAACATAACGATCGATAAAATTGCTATAACGTCCATATCATATCTCTTGTACCAAGGTTCGTGAGCGATATTGGTGTGAAGATGAGGAGCACCTTTGTGACGAATGACAAACTCCGTCCACCAAATTGCGTTTTCCAGCCTATTATAAGGCTCATCATTACTTAGTGCTTTGATGTCGAGCATTCTCTCTTTATATCTAAGGAGAACAAATGAAAATTTATGTATAGAATGGCAGCGATTGAATTTAATTTTGATTACGTAAAAATCTTAATATACATGTAGAATAATTGTGACCCTACAATGTATCTACAATATATATATATGCATGTGCGCGCGCGTATGTGTGTGTAACCTATTTGACAATATTCTTTTATAGCTCGAGCGTTCTTTTCTTGGAAAAGTTCTCAAAGAAGTTTGGCGATGAGAAAAGGAACGAATAGAGAGTTTTGGTCGTTAGACAACCAACAAATTTCATTGAAACGAACTATACACTCTCTTATTTAACTACTTATGTTGAAATCACGTTTTACAGATATCCTACTATTTGCGAACTTGTATAATAGTATCCAGCACATTTCAAATACGCAACGTATTATATACTATATTCTATTTTCTTTGAGCGTTATACTTAAATATACACAGAAAAACTATAGTTGTTGCATTCACATATGCTATAGTTAGAAAAAAATTTTTGTGATTTTAAGTAAAATAAATATGATAAAGTGGATATTGAAAGTTACTGTTATTACATGCCCATCTATATAGTTCTCATAGCCCTAGTTTTTATGATATATAATATTCAGTCAGTATATATATATATATATATATAGTTGCTTTAACTAAAAAAATATTGCTATCTCTTTGCTGTAGTCAGTCTACAGAACAAATACTATTGCATAGAGAAATCTGTTTGGTTGCATACAGCACTGAAAGTACTACTCAAATATATATGAATAAGCAATGATGAAGGTTAAGGTACTACGGATATACTACAAACATCTAGTATACATGGGCGAAAAATAACATTAATATTTTGTTATGGCAACCATATTTAGACAAGTAATATTCTTAGTATTTTCTATATATTTCAATGATAATTTGAAAAGAAGGATTTTACTTTCTATTAATTAAAATATACCTTTTATTATAATTATACCTTTTATCGGTTATAATATCCATTATAGATGAGTTCAGTTCTTTTTCGGAGAAAGTAGTAATATCTAAACTCTTTGCGACACCAAGAAATGTCATTTTGTTTATGTTAGTGCACTGATCGGCCAATATTGGTATCCCCAAAAGTGGCACCCCGTAATGGATAGCTTCCTCTGTGCTTTGAAGCCCGCCTTGATATATGAACAGTTTAATGTTCGGATGAGCTAGACAAAAAAAGATGAAATAAAATTATATATCTTGCAAGCATGACTATATAAAAATATGATGTAAATTTATTTGATTTTTTATATGTTGCTTATCGATTTACCGAGAATGCTTCGTTGAGGGAACCACTTAGCAATATAGATATTATCATACTTGTCTGGCAAATGTCCATCAAACTTCCACACTATCTTGTACGGCAAACTTGTAAGTACATTATAAAATACACGTTGTACATCATTCGGTAACGACATTACTTTAACGTTTGTGCCTAGACTCACATAGATGAATCCATTTGGTGTGTCGTTTAAAAATTTTTCCAAATTCTAGAACAATAAAATTATCCAGCATCTATTCTAAGAATTTGAAATATTGTTGTTTGAGAACGTAATATTTACATTTGATAAAGGTGGAGGTTCCTTCATTATATGAAGATTTCCAGTCTGTATTACTTTCAGTGATTGTGGTCTGCTGAACGAAGTGATTTCCCGTTGACTGCAGAATATAATACTGATATTCTTCATCATCTCATTTATATCGGGTACTTTACCCAAGTATTTCTCCACTAGCGCTTGCTGTTGCGGCACAAATTGATTAAATAAATAATACAAGAAATGCCACAATCGAATGAAATTTTTCATCCTCTGCCACAATGACAGATTAAAACCAGTCCTATATTCCATTTCCCAAGTAGAAGGATGCGATGGTAAAACGGGTACACCAAGATTATAGTAAGCATCAGAGGGTAACGGTAACGACCATATACCTACAAATAAATGCAAAAGTATAACGCAAAAAGCTTCTCACACGCGATTCGCGAAACGAGATATAAGTTTACGCAAGCGAAGCTCTCCAGATAAACAAATGTAATACGTAAATTTGGTAGCAACTTTATTCGCCGATGTGTAACGATTTCATCTCTTACGAGTTCTTCACATAGCACCTATTCTTATCAGGATGACGAAACAGGAGCACAAAAAGAATTATTACAAAATTTATTCAAAATAATATGTTACGTAAACAGTATGATGTGAAAATTTAAAGATAACTGTATTGAACTATAACAAAAAATGTACATTATTGTGTGTATGATGTAAATTTAATAATTAATTAATAATATTGTGAAAGTACATTTTGGAATTGGAAATTGTTATATTAAACTTTAAGACTGTTTAAAAATAAAAAAAGCGTGACAAAAGTTTTCCATTGTCTCACGTCGTGACAATTGTCTATTCGAGTCTGTACGGGATGATTGTCAACATGTCGAATATTCCAGTTTGATACCGACACGATCTGCACGAAACTATTCGCATGAAACACACGATTGACGAGGAATGCAAAAAATTGCCGTTACGATTCTTACCTATAACAGGCGCGTTAAATCTATGCGCCAGGGCGTAGATGGCAGGGGCCACGTGTATTTCAATAAATACTACGTCGAACTGTTCACCACTGTTCGGTGCGTAGAGTTTACGTACTTCCTGATGCTCAAGAATGTTCTTCGTTAGATCCGTGAAGATGTCCCACATGATATTCTGTTCCATGTCTAGCCAAGTAGAGATGAATCTCAGCTTGGTGTAATCAGTCGTGAATATCCCATACTGAGATCGCAAATCGATTTCCGTCAAATTCGTCAAGTTGAGATCTCCGACAGGGTTTGTCGTCAAAACAACGACTTTATGTCCCCGTTGACTGAGAGCTGTCCATAGCGATTGAAACGGTATAAGGTGACTGTAAGATGGTATTGTAGAGACTACCAAGATCCTCGCACTTTCCGTCAGCGTAATGACACCCAGAAAGCATGCTAGCCAGAATGCCGGAGTCGTATTGACCCTGATTTCGCCCCGATTTAATATGTAACATGAGTTATTATTTTGAAGTGGTCGAGAATATTTTCGGAGATGATAAAGTGCAGATTGATGATATAAATCAGAACTCGGCAAGCGATACATTTTCCGGCCGATTTTCGGAAGGTTCCGCCTCGCGTTATTCCCCTTGCTTAATTGTCCCGCGACTAATCTACGAAGTGCTTGAGCATCGAGCAAAAATGCATCGCTTGCCGAGTTCTGATATAAATTATATCACTTGGCTGTATACTTACATATTTGGTTAAAAAGAAATAGAGTAACGATACAATCGCGAAGCCAAATTATATCCGTGAGGCTTCACACTTTATCGCCTTGATTCGTGAAATATGATACTTTGTTCCCGCCACGAATAGTGTGCGCAAGGTGATTTCAACACAACTGTCGTGATAAAACAATATAAAAATCTTTATCTTACGTCTATCTTTTTTCCTCTTTAAAGATCTATATATTTCTCTATGTATGATAACATGCTCATGAATCTTATATAAAATTGATACGAATTTCTTATCTCTTTACTTACATACACTTACCGTACGTTAGACGTTATTTAGACGTATTAGATGCGTTATATACAAATAATTTATTTTCTTGCGGAATGATTAGATTAGGTAATTATTGTTATGTAAAACACAGCCTTTTTTGCATCAATATGCAAATTTCATAACTTGTAACTGCACGTATATACATTCCGGTGTATATAATTATCAGATTCACGTCACAGAATGTAGGTCCTCTATTCGATATTTTTCTAAAAAAATATAGAATAAGTTATGTTGATTTATTTTTTTTGAAGAGAAAGTGCAGGAAGAGAGGCGGAGCCTTTTGCATATACGTGTGCTGTTTGCCGTATTTCAATATATGCTGTGTGCAAAAATTATGTTGCTTTTATAAAACTTTTTTGTTATTTTTTGAGATTAACGAAAGAAGTTTTATAAATATAATGATCAAAAAAACGATAAATATAATGGCAATGGATGTGAATCTGATAATTATACACATCGAGTCATCAATCATGCGGTTAAAACGTTATCATGCGGTTATTACGTTCTTCTTTAAAATTACGAAACTTCTTTTATTAATAACTTTTTAACAAACAAAGACTGCCGTCTAAAATCTTTTAAACGTTACTAAAAGTCATGTCCTTGACAATATATGTTAAGGTTATCAGCGAGGTGTCCCTTAAAGTAAATAATTACTAATTTTTTAAAAATCCACGTAATACCTCGAGATATTCATGAAAAAAGATTGACGAACTAGAGCGCGCGACGTTGTGGGACGAGCTCTGTAAAGTTCACGAGGTTTCACCAGAAATGGCTAAAATGCGACTATTTCTCATAGTGGCCTACAATATGTGGAGTAAGCTTAGTGTAAGTTGAAGTAAGAAATGAAAATAATTTATTTTGCTTTTACGCTTATATTCTAACTCCCTTACACCGAAAGTATTCCTCTTAAGTAACAAATATACTTTAAGTGTAAGGGACTTAGAGTATAAGTAAAATAAATTATTTTCATTTCTTCCAACTTGCGTCAAGCTTACTCTGCACATTGTAAACGGCCATTTACAACTCGCTTGCAATACGCCAAAGAACAATTATCTATGCACTATTTGCATCATTATTTCGTCTTCAGTTGTCAACCAATATTCACACATATTAATGTTATATTCTGAAAACCCACAGAACTAAATGAGTGAAACCATAGAAGGAGGAGAGCGTACTAAGTGGCGGCGGGATGCCGTGCGTTCGGGATCTGCGTATTTTTTCGTTCCAGAGAGAGAAAAATATCAAAAGTGCGGTTTGCTAGGCCGGGACTCGAACCCGGAACAAATACATAATTTAACTAAACTATTGCCTTCGAATTTTGGATAGCTGATTTAGGGATATTTAAACATAAGCAGATTATACTGTTGGGTTTCAGAGTAAATAAATCTCTTTTATTTGAATCTTATTCTCTGGATATTAAAAAATATAATTGTAATACAATATAATATTTGAAAATATAGTTATGGTACACTTATTGGTTATAATAACAATAGAGGAATTTAAAGGAAAAAGGGAATAAAAAGAGGCTTGCTCAATTATTGACTGATGTGAATTTTTACTGACCTTTTTGCTACTATGCCGACAACTTATGTTGATATTATTTCGAAACCGCTCAAGACTGAACTGCTGACCACTGAAATTAACTCGACTGATAGACTAATGTCTAATGACTAGTGACTGAATGCCTGATTGATTGACTAATTGATTAGTTGTTCGATCACACACACAGCTGGCTGCGGCTTTTTTATAGCCTAGCCCGCTGTGGACTGTGCCCTCTTTTTCTTTAATAGCGATAAACGCTGCAATATATTATTTTTTAATATGACAATTAAGATACGTATTGAGATACGTATATCAAGCGACGCAGAAGTATATGTCGCTATATATCGCCTTTCTAATCTAATCGTATTTAATCGTGCGATATTGCTGTAATATATAGTTATAAGTTATGTAATAATTAAGATATTGAAACAAGTTATGTAATAATTGAGATATTGAAACAAAACAAAAAGTACCAAATAAAAAATAATAAAATAAAAATACTAAACAAAAAGTACCATACGAACAATACCAAAACAAAAATACCAAACAAAAAGAACCATACAAAAATTATCAGAACAAAAACTACAAAAACTCGGCATGCTCTAATCAATACATCATTTTTCAATATAATTATTTATAATGCTACACTAATAATTTTATGTACATTATTGAAAATATATATATTCATTACGAGAAAATCTATATTGATGTTTCGTGAATTCAAGACGGTGTGTCGCCATATATAGGATGACTTTTCTATATGATTATATTTATGAATTTATTTATTGAAGTACGCCGAGTTTTTGATCCCCGATATTAAATTCTTTTCAATTTAATACTTGTATATTTTAAGTTTACAAAAAGAGTTTACGGTATGCAATCACTTCTTTTATTAAAATAACTATGTTTATTGTGTTTATGAATTAATTCTTCTTGTAAATACACTACGTGCTCGCGACGATTTCACATTTGTTTATGAGCGACGCTAACAGTAAGGTCCTTATCTTCACTTAACATGCATACGCACCAAATCTGTTCCTTTCAGAATTATTATGATATACAAATTCAACTTTCCCGCGGTGTAAATTAGATAATGCGAATATCGACGGTACAACTTTGAAGCTTCATATCTCGGGAGTGATTTGTTTCAATTGATTTGTTATAATATATGATTGAATTTGTCTTGAAACGGAGTACCACTTCATGGAGTTCAAAATACCATTTAAAAAGTTGAATCAGGTGTGCACTGAAATATGAAATGAATGAACTTTATTAGCATAAACTTCGTTTGGGACATCCAGATTAGCATCAATTTATGACTCATTCGTCAAATTTTATTCAGAATTTGCCTACTTCGGCTTTATCTGGGCCCTACAAATACCTATTATAGAGCATTTCTGGCTAGGGTCATTACATACTTTGGTCCCATCTCGACTAATTCCTAGCCGGAACATAATTACATATCTATTTTGACATGTAGAACACATATTCAAAAACTTAATCTCTTACCAGAAATTTTACGATAATTTAATTGTTATTATTACTTCGATATGACATAATAGTTAACTTTTTGAATGTGAAAACATTTCAAAGTTAAACAACTACTGAGAACGTAATCTCGTTCAATATGTGAGATATGAGAACTAACTGATATTTCAAGATGTGTTATGGCGTCGCTTGTAACACACTATTCAAACATCGGTACAGCAAGTCTCAAACGTTGAATTATATTCTAGTGATACTTAGTATTGGGTTATGTGAGTCAGCAACGAAAACATTTTCTTACGCTTCTCTGGCTTTACGCGACTACGAGCTACGGTCAATTCGCCGCATTTGAACGTTTGGCGAGTGAAATTTCATTTGAAAGCAACGGGATACATTGCGCACGTACGTATCCGGTGGACCATGGCAAATGAAAAACTCAGTAAAACCGATAGACCGAAACCATAGAGATTCGTTTCTTTCGCTCCTCGTTCTTTTCATTTCTCACACTGCTTATTCCTCGACCGAACCACACGACTTGGAGCCCCGTTTTTCTTCCTACCGCAAGAAAGTGAAACCTCGTTGTCGAACGATGGATTTTATCAAGACCACAGATGCAATTCTTGCAAGCAACGCGCATTAATTAAAATATCATAAACGTATAACATCAACAAAATAAATTTAGTTTTACAAAATGTACAATAATATAAATGTTTGTAAAATCAATTGTGTTAATCAGATCCATTTGACATATAGATGTCTATTTGATTTATAAATCTTGTTAAGTAAATAATTTATGAGTAAAATTCGAAAATATATATAAACACCATGCTGAACATATTTTATATGGAGAGAATATTATAGTTTCCTTTTGTTACATAAATTCTTTTCAATTTTACTATTTTTCTAGTTAGCGCAGGAATAGACTATCAGTCACAGGTTTATCTTGCTAAAAAATATAGTAAAGAGAGCAGTCAAGCTCTTATAAGTTTTCAACTCCATTTTGTGACATTCGAAATTATTTTTTGACAAAATTGTAGCTATTCATAAATAAATTAAAGATGTATAAATATCAAAATAATACGACTCATTGTTTAGAAAAAAATAAAAATAGTTAATTTTTTGAATGCAAAAACACCTCAGAGCTAAATAAATATTGAAAACACAATTTCGTTCAATGTGTGAGATCTGGGAAATAACTAATATCTCAGGATGCGCTATCGCGCATTATCGTTTAATTCTGTTGTAATTTAATATCTATTAGTAGAATTTATTAATAGCCCTCTCTCTCTCTCTCTCTCTTTCTATATATATATATATATATATATATATATATATATATATTTGCTGATCACGATAGAATTAATTAACGATTAAGTTAATTGCAACTTAGTAAAAATCATCCATAGTGTGTCTGTAACTGTCTTATTACCAACATTATGAGTACCAATATTTATTGCATGGGTAAAGGAAACTGCAGAAAACTTATCTGTTCGAGTTCGCCACGGAGAGTGACTCTTTGACAGACGAGTTTTCTTGTAATTAATCGAATTGAATTTATTATCCTTGTACTCCGTCGTAATACAAAATATTATCTATTGCAGCTTCGCTCTCGAAAAACGCCTTACAGACTGGCTCTCTCTTCACAATTTTCTTTCTCCTTTAAATTTGCAAAGACTAGCTTCGTCCCAGCGAGCAGATATGTGAGGTTTTCAGGTATTGGTCAAGTTTTCGTCGCGATAAATTATGCGACCAATAACTATGTGCCAACTAAAGTGTGTCGCGATCTATGTAAAAAAAACCACGCGCTTCATGTCATCGGTTTGACGGTGTATAATCTAACGCTTTTATGAGACTTCATGTGGAGCTCTCTCCTTTTAAATCGACGGTTTTAGACATTATCAGTATTCTAATAAAAGGCTTATATTGATTACCAGAAGCGCCATATATTAGTTTTGAAATTCTTTTTCAATAATTTTCTTCTAAATAGTGAAGTGCATTACTTTGATATTTATATATATTTAATCTATCTAACACACAATAGCTACAATTATAACAAAAAATAATTAAAAATCTCGAATACTCCCCGCAAAATAAATTTAAACTTGATCACACTTTTTCGTTAGAAACATAATGAACTTTCTAATAGAATATTTCAGTTCTTAAAATATAAATAGCACAAATAAAACGAAAGAATATTGCAAAATGTCGATCTGTTCCTCGGTTACAAAATACTATAGTGACTTTTACTATAAAATTCTCTCCGTATACTAGATTTATTGTCGGAATTAAATAACTCGATTATATGCTTAATACGGTCACTTGTTTACATAAAAACCTCTAACTGTAGAACAGACAACGGCGATTAAAAAGAGACCGATCGAAATCACAAAACAATGTGCAAATAAATTGTGACGAGAGATGTCTCAGTTTCGTTAAGTATATTTGCTCGTGACACATGTGTCAATGTAAAACTACGGAATGCAAACACTTACCAGGTTTGTGCTCACGCACGCCACGTGCTTTTTCTGATTGCAAGAACGGCGCACTGTGTGCAGTCGAGTAATCATCGGATTCGTCTATCACGATCGCAAGTTCCAGTAACTTGGCAGAGCGCCGGCGATCTTTTCCATCACGTCGAAGAAAAGGATGTAATAATAATCTCGTGCGTGCTGAGCGACGCTCACGTACTATTCTCGCAAACATTCCACACCTATATGCCTCGTGCAATTCGTCACATGTGTACAAAGTATTATACTATATATAGGATGTCCCAGAATAATTTTTTATTTAGAAATTTAAAGACCTTACATATATTCACATGTTTAATTATTTTCACCTCAATCCGTTCTATGTTCCCACAAAAATTGCGGGGGAAACTCTGGAACACCCTGTAAAGTAACACAATTATGACGTTAAAAGCTTGCGGTAATTGTTTAAAAATGCACCGCTATTTAGCTCGATGTCCATTACTAATGGATCTTATATTATTCATATGTATAAGTTAGAATTACACGATACGTCTCAATTGACAAAGTGCTCCAAAGTTTTATCTCGAGAGCTAAACACATGGCAACGACGCAAAAGTAATATGTTCTAATCTCTTGATACGTCTTATACGTCTCTGATTAGGCTATAGAGCGAACATGTCAATACCGCGTTTTTGTGAAATATACAGGGTGTCTCAAGCTTTCCTCCGCAATTTTTGTAGGAACGTAGAACGAATTGAGGTGAACATAAAAGTTCTATCCTTTTGTGCTATTTGCAATAATAATCGAGATATTAATTAAAGAAAATTGATAAATGATCATGCGCGATATGCTAAATGAGCTATAGTGGCTCCGTCTGCTGTTACTTACTGATACATTAAGTCAAACTAAACAAAAAATCTTCTACTATTTTGCAAATGACTACATAGATTTTTAGATATTAATTAAAGAAAATTTGTGCATTATCGCGCATGATTATGTAACAATTTTCTTTCATTAATAACTAAAAGCATTAGTACGTAATTATTTACAAAATTATGAGAAGCTTTTTTGATCAATTTGACCTATAATGTGTGCAAGCACACAATAGCTTATCTATCATATCGCGCGTGATTATTTACTAATCTTCTTTAATTAATATCTCGACTATTATTGCGAATATTGCAAAATAGTATGAGACTTTTATTTTTACCTCAATCCGTTCTACGTTCCCACAAAAATTGCGGAGGAAACTCTGGAACACTCTGTATACGAAATAACACAACTATGACATTAAAAGCTTGCAGTAATTGTTAAAAATGCGCCGTTATTTGGCTGGATGTCCATTACTAATGGATTGCTTTATTAACGATCCAATAGTACCGGTGAATATTAAATACCTGATAGCAACTGAATTTAATATTCATCGTCGTTATTAATAACTCAGTAAATCAATGTTACAATACAAAATATAACGCGGCACAAAATTTTCTTAATGCAAAAAATCGAAGCTTTTTGAGATGTCCCTGGTTCAATTGCATAACATTGGCGAA